ATAGAAATGATCACACCTATAGACAAGTCAACTATCTTTTGGATGTATCGCTATGACATATATAACTTAAATTAACATTAAGTGGCTTCATCACACGAGTGTACCACATTGCAGTGAAAAAAATTTGTCAACTGGAATGACAGCAGTGTGTGAAAATCATTTTACGTGGGCTGCAGGTTTTGGTGAGGAAAAAACATTTGTTGGTTTTGTTACAAGTTCAGTTCATTTACAGGGAGGTTTATAGCCTAAAGACAAGAATTTCATGGTAAGAAATTTTTTCTCTTCATTTTCTTTCTGGTTACTTTTGACATTGTGTTTGTAGTTTTGGTCTGAATTACGTTCTTTTCCCCATTGTTGGCAAGTCACAGGGAAAAAATTGCAACTTTCATTTTATTTTGGTGTAAAAATGTGGTTTATGAAACATGAGTGTGAAGAGAAACAGTCTCATTTACAAGACTAATATTTTTAGAGAAAACTTAAATTTAGCAGACTTAGAAATGTCTTGAGACTCCCTTATTTATTTAACTTACAAGAAATAAATTGAGAAATTGTTTAAACATTTCAGATTTCATCACTTAAGTCAGGGTTAAAATCAAAGAAATCCCTCAATTACAAATTCAAACCACAAAATTCAGTTGGAACAAAAATAGTAGCCAGTTATAAATTATGAACCAATTATATGTTTGATAAACTTTTTACAGAGTACTTAACTTTAGCTAGCATAGTATTGTTGTTAAATGAAATAAATGTTAGCTCCAAGACATTTCATTCATGTGTGGTTCTTTGAGAATGAAAATATTGCACCCATCTTACCTCTTTTTTCTACCTGCCCCACCCCACCCCACAAATATCTTTGGAGTCCAGGGGGGATTGTTAGTCAAGGCAAGACCATGAAAACAAGCAGAAGTCGCCTCCCAAGTGTAAACTTTTGCAGCTCAGCTTACTGTTCTTCACATTGACCCCTATTAAATGACCCCCTTTGGGGAGATGGACAGTGGCCCCATAATAGAGGTAAAAACAATAGAAAAGCTCTCATCGGGACTTGGATTACTGGAAGCCTAATAGGGGTCCAGGTGGCCGTTTAATAAGTAGCCGCTTAATAGAGGTTCGACTGTATTTCCTTCTGCAACCTCCAAATATAAGGCCATGAGCTAGGGTAAGGCTTTTCTCATTACAGTGTACTCCAGAGACGATGGTAAGTTGAAGACGAGCTTGAAACTGATAGCGAACACTTGGTTTTGAGAGGTTTAGAGTATCATCATATTTACAGTATCATCTATCTGACGTTAACCTTTCAAATACAAGCTAAAAACAATTCTGAAACGTAAAATTCTTACGGATGATTAGCGAGTATTTTTACGATATATTCAGAGTTCCTTTCCAAGTCACAAACACCAGAGTTAGAATGCGCAGTATTGACCACGAACCAATCATTTAATTTACTCTCCTTACTTCAAGTAGAATAAACTTAATTACACTGTACAAGAAAAGAATTGCGAAAAATAAGGGAACCAATGTCACGGAGCTTTCATTACTCCACACATTGACAGCGAGTGTGCGCAGTCCTAAGCGGGAACCATTCATTTAATTTACACTTGTTTGTTCAGTTGGAATAAACTTCATTACGCTGTACAAGGAAAGAATTAGCAAACATATCAAGGCAGTATGTTTGATCGTTCCTTACTCCACACATTGAGTTTCACACGTGCACAGTTGATCCCAGTCTATCGAGACAGAAAACACCTCACGGTCAAGCCATCGTTCGTAATTGTTTTTAAACTCACTACTCAACTCGATCTTTTCTCCCAAAACGCTCAACACGTCATTATCCACGGGCTGGTATTCGTCTTCTTCGCCGTTGTCTCCCAGGCGATCGCAGATCTCTATACCATAACGACGGTTATTAAAGCGATCCACGCAAGTACGTAAGGCATTTTCTTCTCCTTGGAAATCCCATGGACGTGCGTCAAGATCTTTTGATAAACAACAACGAAGATTTACTAGTATTAAGAAAATGCTACGATTATACACGCGTTTCTCTACTAAGAGACATAAGGTGATAACTTGGAGTTTCGAAAGCAACGACCCTCGTTACTTTCGCTTTCAACAGCATATCGCTAGAGGCCTAATCAGCCTCATCAATCCGAGTTGAACTAAAGTTTTTTAAAAAAAATCGCTATTCTAAGAGGGTCGCCATACTCAAAACGCGAGTTGTTTACGAGCCAATCCACGTAGAAATTTTCTTTGTTTTGAATAAAAATTGGTAGGAATCAGCCTTTGTCCTGCACGTATACAGCGAGATCAAATAAGTTTATGACGTAAAATGAACAGCCTCGTTCCCAGAGACCCTGTGAACGAGGTTGGATAATGAATTGTACGTTCAACACGAAACTCTAGGCTGATTTAGCAACAGGACGGGAACGTCCGATGACGACTGCAGGGCGCGCGGAATAACCTGGATTCTGTTCTAATTTGACCATATTTGGGTATTTGTACTGCGCGCGCCGTCGTCAAGTGACGTTTCCGTTCTCTTGCTAACTCAGCCTTCTGTTAAACCAATGACGCAGCCGAAATTTAACTCCTACCACCCTATTGAATACTCACCGTTGCCATAAGCCCAATCGTCATTCAGCCGGTGACGAACTTTCTGATAAATCGCCGACATCGTCTTCATGTTACTCTTTCGCCAATTTCTTCCTAAATACTTCGTTTGTGCCTTGAGTAACTGAAGGGGGAAAAAAAACCAGGAACTCCTTCAACTGACACAAACTTGTCAACCAATTAAAACAAGACACTAGGAGCTCTACGGTAGCTTTTACCATGGTTGGTGTATGTTTTGACAGTACTCGTAGCATTGAAGATATCAGGAAGTTAAGCGAACCACAACGGCAACAGCAACGAGAACGTCACCAAACAAAAGAAGTCATGAACACAGCAATGGCGGTGCACGTGCGTTATAAATCTTGGTACATTTCTCAGCCGTCCTGTACAAAGCTGACTAAGTTCTGCGTATTTTACAAAACGCGAATGACGGTTGCTAATTTTTCGTATTTTCATTTGGAATTGAACACTGGCGTTACATATTTAGCTTGAGCAAGTTCTGACCAATAGCGGGCGTACTGAACAGATCTAGACAATTGCGAAATTCGAAGATAAAATATTAATTCGTTTTTCACTAGGCGTTGTCCTTGGGGTCGCCGTCGTCATTGCTTAAGCTTCCTGGATATTTGTAAAACAGCATTGAGTCAGCGATAAAAGGAGGATGGAAGTAAGTTATTTGCTTTGGATGAATCGGTAACGTGAATAAACTAACCTTGAGTACATATAGCTGAAGAAGTTCGTGTTTCACTTTTAGCACGCGCTTTAAAATTGGAGCAGATTTGAACACAACAAGCATCTGCAAGACAATTTTTATTAACAAAACAGACATTTTAAAGACACTGGACTCTTGTAAGTTCACTTCCAAGAACAAACCGGTTTGGAAGCTCCCTGATATCACAAGAAAACAATAAACCATTTTATTTGAAAGACTGATACTGGACAAGAAAACGAAAACCTCGAGTACAACCAACGAAGCAAGATAAAATGCATGTTTACCATTGTTCGCGAGTGTTTCCACTTTGTGAGCTTCTGAAGAATGCGCGCAAGGTTGATACAGGAAAAGAGATTTCTCCAGCAGCAAGCTTCTTGATCAGCATTTTCCTTAAAAAAAAAACACACACAGAGACGATATCAAGCTTAGACAACGCATAAAGGACCGGTGCAAAAAAAGCCTGAAGTAAAAGTACTTCTCAGTTGTTACTCACCAGGCTTTCAGCGGTCAATTCCAGTGGATCGCCTAATATACACGCTGGAAAGTCGAGCTGAGGTATTCTAAAATTCAAGGAAACACTAACTGTTGCACTACTATGAAAGAGGGCAGATAGAACATCGAGGAATAGTTAAGCTTTAAGGTAGGTAAAAACTCTAAAGGAAAGCTCTTAACGAGGTACAGTGAACTCTCATTATGGCAAACAATCTCAGGGGCCCGTTTTCGGGAAAGCCCCGGAAACGTTTCGGGCCCGGAAAGCCACTTTTAGTTAATCTGTATCTAAAAACTGAGAGGTGTATACGCCTGAAACTTCTTGAATGAAGGGAACCTCTGTTCATATTAAGGCCCGGTATAAGTGAATAAAACAGCTCTGTAATTATAAGGTTTGAGATTTTGTTACGGCTTTCCGGGTGCGAAAACTTTTCGGGACCTTCGAGAAACGGGCACAAGATGTCCGTGGTAACGAGAGGAGAACAGTTAACATATTATTTTGAGAGCATACGAAGTGTTCGCTATTCCGTAATAGCAGTTGTTTCCATTCATTTCTTTGTAGTTTAAGGCAAGGGTTTAACTTGCGTTCGTAATAGCGGGTGTCTGTTATAGCGGAGTGTCCGCAAAGCGAAAATTGAC